GGCTTATGTGTTGTCTTTGTCTACATTGTTCCTTCGTGCGAAGCATTCTAAGTACTACGAAAAAATTCTCAGCAGCACTCGTTCAGGACTTGTGGTCCCACCATGGGCCAGGCGACAGTAGAGGAACAGGAACGTGCTAAGAACGCGCATCTATGAACTGACGAGAGCCATTTTCCTGCAGGAAGAACTGGCGGAGAGGGAGACCAAGGAGCGTGATCTTATGCTACGACAACTACGTCGGGTCTGTGGCCTATGTCAGGAGTCCCTGGTGGATGTTCAATCCTGGAAAAGACTCAAAAAAGGCGCACCCTGAGTGGCATCATGGTCTTTGATGATGCGCTCTGCATGAACACGGCCATGGTCAGACGTTGTCGTGTTTGCGGAGCTCAATACCAGAAGACCCCCGCACTGCACAGGCCACGCTGTCTCCCTTTCTTGCAGTCACTTCTTCTCTACCATGACGGTGGAAGACATGTCGGCGGAAGCGCAAATCGCAAGCTTGTGGAGCCTTACAACCCCGCTTCGGCAGGAGGGAGAACCTCAAGGAAGCAGGCAGAGACAATTCGGGCCAAAGGGAGCCAAGCCGGGCAAGGGTCAAGGCAAACGCAGTTCTGCGAGAAAAGGCAAAAAGGATCAGGACACGGAGATGATTCAAACACTCGATTGTATGTGGGACGACTTCCAGCACCTTGAATGGTCCCTCACGGTAAGGTCAGCCTTTTCGAGCTTTTGCGATCTTTACGCTTTTTTCTGGTGGGGTCACTCTCCTCAACCCAAAAGAATCGGAGGGCAACTGAGCTTCAGACTTGTGCAGATTTCACATCAGCCTTTGCGTCTGCTTTGCGGCTCATGCCAAAACAATTGTCACCAAACATTCCAGCCACACCGGCTACCCATGCTTTAGTCAGTCATCTCACTCGTTTCAATCTGCCCAAGCAGGCGGTGGGGCTCAATCATCGTCCTAAATTCCGGCAACCTGCGAGAGTTCACGCAATGCTCACTTGGTTGCGTATGCAGCCAGAACCATTTACGACATGGCGGTGGAATGTTCCGCTAAATATCCTTTTGAATAACTAGGGTAACAAGTTTTTCCCCACACGGCTTGGCAACGCAGATGCAGTGACCTCTAGCGCAAGGAAGACGGTCCAGCTGTGATCTTGCTTTGTTTGTTTTTGTGAAGTAAACCATGGATTGGTGGCTATTGCATTTTCTGGGGCTGGGGCGCAGGATGCGTGCAGTCCGGAGTATCCACTGCGGCTCACTGTGACGGACTCCCTGCAATGCACATGACTCCTCAGGTAGTTGATGGCCAAAGCGCGGGGTCTAACCTGTTAGGAGTACCGATAACGTTTTCTTGTTTGCCTTGCACAACAAGAGGCAACCAAAAATAGTGCTCACGAGTGCCCGGCCGACGCGCGCTCGTTCCAGAGCTCATAGTTTCACGACTCCCTTCCCTTCCCCTAAGGTTTAGGGCCTCCATGTTTTGGTTTGTTTGTTTCCCCCCTGTCTTGGGGTTTGTAGGGCCTGCCCTCCTCATAGGGTTGTAGTGTAGGACCCCTGTGTCCCGTTTGCATGAGTGGTCACTGCATAGGCCTTGGTATGCCTGGTTTGTGACGTGCCCTGCCTGGACTTTTTGAGGGACACGGAGATGATTCCCAAAGAAGAGGAGATGGACGGATCAATAAGCTGCTTGTGAAGTGCCCTCAGGGAAATGCGATGTGATTCTCAAACAAGAGCATCAGCTGCAGATGCTGGAAGCGGAGAGGTCCTACGTGCTCTTCATGGATGTGGGCCAAACAAGGGTGCTGCCCCAGCTGAGGGAGGCCAACAAGAAGTGGCATTAGCAATGAATCGACGGGTTCAGGCTACTACCTTCTTAGCTAATGCATGCTCCTGTGCAGTCGCTCTTCTTTTATCAGGTGTTGCTCCGGATCGTGAAAGGGTGCTTTGCAGTGCGAAGAAATGCAATAGCTACACTGAAACGGTAGGCCCCCGTTGGGCCGTGACGGTGAAACTGCGGCCCACCCTCTTGATTTTTTTTTTGGACTGCGGTCCCGGCCATTGCGCGCCGTTGAGTCAATAGACTTTCGCCTGCGGCTATACAGGGCGAGTAGGGTGGGTTCTTTTGCAGTTTGCAGCGCGAACTACCGGGCACTCGGTGCCCCTCTCTGCGTAGGAGCCTGAACCCTGCGGTGATATGACTTGCAACGCCAAGACAAAGCAGCAGCAAAACATGCGTGTATAAAGAACAAAGATCACACGCAACGTTCAGGCTACCCCCTTAGCTAATGCATGCTCCTGTGCAGTCGCTCTTCTCTTATCAGGTGTTGCTCCGGATCGTGAAAGGGTGCTTTGCAGTGCGAAGAAATGCAATAGCTACACTGAAACGGTAGGCCCCCTCTTTAGCCCGGAGCAACTCCTGAATGTGTGCCACTGTGACCCCTGCCGCGCTCAGGAGTTGCTGTGACCTTAGCCATCAGAAAACATGCGGTCGCGCGGTGCAGTCAGTGAGGGTCGAACGTGAGCACATGCTGCTACTCCCTGCTCTTTTTGCTCACAAGCGATGCTGTTCGCGGCGTTACCTCACGCGGAGGCGGCCAATAATGCGCCGGCCCAGAATGCGTTTGGTGGATGCAGGTGAATGCAGTGACATCGCTCTGCGAGCATTGTCAAGGATATGCGGACTCGCTCATGCAGGCGGTGTGAGAACCTGCCTTGGCGATTGCGGCTGAGCTCATCTGCCCATACGTTCCTCTCGCCTGCCAAGTGCGAGACTGCTAGCTGCACGTGTTTGTGATCCCAGTCTGCTACAAGCTTGAAAAATGCTGCAAGGGGCTCCGTAGTGCTGAATAGCTTGGTGATACCGCTCTCTGCGGCAGTGTTATCACTTGCGGTAGGCAGTATGAAGGTCATGCATGTTGAGTGGATTCGCAGCCATGCGGTCTGCAGCAAGGCGAGCTGGGCTAGCACTTCGAAGCAGGCTATGTACAGCTGTGCCGTGTCGGTTAGCATGGGCCATGTTGCACGTACTTCTTCCATGGTCCATGATTCGCTAAACCATGCAAAACCTTTGCTGGCGCAGATCCAGCCGCCTATGCCGACCTGGTTGCCTTCTGCCATCGCGTCTGCAGCGCTGAGGCACTGCAATAGTTGGGGCTGGTGCAGTGGCATGGTATTGCTATGCTTAAAAAGTTGCTCTAACCAGAGCAATGCTTCTTTGCTCTGTTTGCGCAGGTGCACCTCACTGCGGTTGGGATCTGCAGAGAGCGCGCTGCTACCGCGACAAGGAGGCACAAAACTTAAAAGCCACAATAGCAAATGCCTACCGCGACAAGGCGTCGCATGCCACGGCGACAAGCTTCTGCAGCTGCTGAAGCTACTTTTTGCTGCCCTCCCCTCCCCACCTGCTTACCTCCCCCCCCCCCACCCTCCATACCCTCCCCCGACTCCCCTCTCTGGAAATGATGTTCTTCAGCGACAAGAAACAGCTCACAGGTCTGACACGTGATGTTTTTTTCCCTGCGCGCATCCTGAGTGTCTGTGCACTCTGCACCCAAGGCCCCCTATTGCAGCCGACTTCGGCTTCACTTGTTCTTCTTGGCCTGGCAAAAGCAAGCGTGAACAAAAACCAGTTTGGGTCTCCAAAACTGATTTTTTTGGAGGAGGGAAGGGGGGTCTGGGGGGTAGTTGTTTTGCTGCGCAGGCGTTTATGCACATGCAGAACCCCTGCCTGCTGGCCAGCAGGAGATGGCTTCACTTGTTCTTCTTGTCCTGGCAAGAGCAAGCGTTCATAAAAATCAGTTTGGGTCTCCAAAACTGATTTTTTTGGGCGGAGGGAGGGGTGGGGGGCTGGGCAAACAAAAACCAGTTTGGATCTGCAAAACTGATTTTTTGGGGGAGGGGGGGGGTTTGCGGGGGGGTTGGAGGGGGGGGGGGGCCTGCCTGCTGGACAGCAGCAAGACGACTTCACAAAAATCAGTTTGGATCTCCAAAACTGATTTTGAGGCGGGGTGGATCTGCGTGCCTGGCGGCTGGCAGGAGATGGCTTCGCTTGTTTCTTCTTGGCCTGGCAAAAGCACGCGTCACCGAGCTTTTTTTGGGGGGCTGGGGGGCTCTGCAGGACTTCACCCTCTTGAAAGGTCCTGTGGGCATTCACAAAAATCAGTTTGGATCTCCAAAACTGATTTTTGGGCGGGGTGGAGCTGGGGGGGCTTCGCCACATGTTGAACCCCTGCGTGCCTGGCGGCTACCAGGCGATGGCTTCGATGTTTCTTCTTAGGCGGGGTGGAGCTGGGCATGCTGAACCCCTGCGTGCCTGGCGGCTAGCGGCTAGCAGGAGATGGCTTCGCTTCTTTCTTCTTGGCCTGGTAAAAGCACGCGTCAGCAAGATTTTTTGGGGGGGGTTCACCCTCTTGAAAGGTCCTGCGGGCATTCACAAAAATCAGTTTGGATCTCCAAAGCGGGGTGGAGCTGGGGGTACTGCGCCACACGCTGAACCCCTGCGTGCCTGCCGGCTAGCAGGAGATGGCTTCGCTTGATTCTTCTTGGCCTGGCAAAAGCACGCGTCACCATTTTTTTTTGGGGGCGGATGGGCTCTGCAGGACTTCACACTCTTGAAAAGTCCTGCGGGCTCTTGCTCACATCGCCGGGCTCTGCCATGGGAGCATGATGCTCCATGTTGTGCGCCCCGCTCTCAGCAGGAAAATGGAGGTCCAAGTCCTCCTGTTCAAAGGTGTATTACAGCGTGTTTCATGCCCGGGGATACCGTGGATACATGGTCGCCATGCCCAGGTTTAGGCCGCGCCTTCACCTCGAAACTTCCTCCCCCTGGCATTGAATGAACAGGCTTGTCCTGTCAAAAGGGCGTGTATCGAGCGCATGTCTGTATGTGTGGGGATGACACTGGATTTCGATGCTTATAGGACGAGTTTGGGAGTGAGAAGGTATCTTACTTACAGGGTGAGGTTAGGAGTGAGAAGGTATCGCACTTACAAAACGGGTTAGGAGTGAGAAGGTATCGCGTCCTCAAAGGTGTTCAAGCTCGGTGCCGGCGAGGCCTTCGCCTTCACCATCAGCTTTCGAACCTTTCCCACGTTCAGGGTCAAGGGTCTTTGGATGGATTTAGGGCTTTGGGGCTGCGTGTGTGTGTGTTTGCCTTTCGGGATTAGGTTTCGAACAGGCCTTCCGAGGCTCGGCTTCCTTCTTGTCTGCCTGACTTCCAAAACAAGCCTCCTCACCACCCCCCTCCCCCACTGAGAAAAAAACGGTGGCCTCTACTTGCCAGTCTTCCAGCGCGACCATCTTCTGAGACTCCTCAAGAATGATCTGGACGTTCCCGTTCTCCAAAATCTTGCTCACTCGCCCACGTGTGCCGACAGGGTAGGCGAGGCAGGCAGGCGTTGTGCACACCCAATCTCCTCTCGTGCATTTTCTCGATGCCAGCCCACACACTTGAGCAAAACGGTGGCGATCATCTTTACTCAGCATGGAGCAAGTGCTGAGTCATGCCTCCGGTAAACTGTCTGGCAATCATGTCTCTTGGAGGATGGTTTTTCGGTTGGCATGCTGGCGAACTGATCGCAGCCACGCAGGAGCTCGACGCACAGACTTCAGCAGCTACCTGCAACACGCCAGCGCCTCGGCCGACACTTTCGGCACTTCGTGGGGAGCCTTCCCCCTGGCTGGCGCTCGGCATTCTTGTACCAAACCACATCCTTGACAACGTCGTCAACCAGCCGCTCAAACGGCAGCTTCTTGATCGCGAAATCTTTGCTTGCCTGCATCTGTCGAATCTTCCGCTTGGCATTCTTGCCGTGCTTGTATCCGGAGACAACGCAGCCCTTGTACTTGCCAACGCGGCTTCTGCGTTCCAAAATGAGACAGAAGACGCTAAGAGGAAAGTCTTTCGGGTTGGGCACATGGGTTGACTTCAAGGAGAAGAGAGTCGAATATGGCCCAGTCCTGTTTACGAGGCCCCGTCAACCCCAACCCGGTGCATGCCCGCTATTGCAGATCTCCTCTGCACGCTTGCCTTCGAAAAACTGCTGGAGAAAAGGGCAAGCGAAAAGCAGGGTCCTCGTGACTAATTTGACTGCCAGTTTTCCTGAACACAGATGCAAACGAAGCTGGCCCAATCCTGGCTCGAGGGAGGCGGAAAGTCCACCACGAGGGAGACGGAGCAGTGGCCTTCCCAACTTGCCATACCAGAGGGACGGGCCGACAACCAGGTACCATGCCAAAAGAAAGAAGACCCGTCTTCTTGTTCCTTTGACAAAGGATTGTGTGAAAGAAGGCACGTGTCAGCAAGAACAAAAGCTCTGTAAGCAGCACCAGCCAGGCGCCGATGTTCTCGAAAGGTGAGAAGCATCCTGCTTTTTCTTGCGCTGGCCTGCGCCCCTGCTTTCGCCTCTTTGCCTTCTTGATTGAGACAAGCGAAGCTTCCGAGATCCAAAATAGTCCAGATTGATTTGGTCAGGAAACGAATATTCCGTCTCAACAGCTCAGCCAGCTCTGCAGAACCGCGCTTTCTACAGAGAACTGAGGGGCCAACTTTCCAACATGTTATCGAAGTTTTTGGATGTACGAGCGTTTAGTGGTGTCTTCTTTTTCGAGTTGCAGGAGCAGCATGATGTGGGCCTGCTGGAGATATTTTGCTTTACAAGCGACGTTTAATTTGGAGTGGATGGGTCTTAGCTACGGCATCATTGCTTTGGTCTGTCTTCCACCTGCCTCTAAACCTCCAAACAAGACCAGCACCACTGTGGCAACCCTTACGGACTGCGCAATTCGCTGTTTCATGCTCCACTTTATAACTCCGTAAGACAGTTCGCATCACGAGCCTTCGCGCGGCCGAGGCATCGTGCCCATGGTGGCACAGCACAGTAGACGAGCCAAGTTGGCTGCGACAGGAACATCCCGGTGGCCCACAAGCAGTTCTCCAAAGCTGTCTTGGGCTTAGGGTTCAGGATCATGGGAGGTCGAAGCCTTCAGGCACCGAAAGTGGTTTTTAGGCCCCGAAAGTAGCGCCTTCATGAGAAAATCAGTTTTAGGCACTGAAACTGGTTTTGGACCTCGAAACTAGGGCCTCGAAACTAGGGCCGTTCATGAGAAAACCAGTTTTAAGCACTGAAACTGGTTTGGGCCTCCAAACTAGCATCCTTGACCTTAGAAAACCAGTTTTAGGCACTGAAACTGGTTTTGGGCCTCAAACTAGCTCCTTGACCTCAGAAAACCAGTTTTTCGGCACTGAAACTGGTTTTGGGCCTCCAAACTAGCATCCTTGACCTCAGAAAACCAGTTTTCGGCACTGAAACTGGTTTTGGGCCTCCAAGCTAGCAACCAGTTTTAGGCACTGAAACTGGTTTTGGGCGGGATGGCCTCCAGGAGGGCAGCCCGAAAAGGGCAGCAGCCAAGGAGCCGAACGAGCCAAAAAACGGCGACCGAAAACCTTGTCACATGAACCCTGACACAGCTTGTCACTGTAGGTAGCAACCTTGTCGAAGTTATCACGTAATTGTCATGGTAGCCTCACTGTCGGGGGATCTGCAAGTCGAACCCAGGTGCGTTGGCTGCTTTTGGGCACGCGCGGCACGTCTGCCTCAGATCATATGCTTGTATTGCCAACTTCCAGCAGTTGTGCGTTTTGGGGAGCCACATGCCTGCGGGTTTTTGTACCCTTGCATGGTCGTCAAGGGCCTGGTAGAACTGCTGCCACTGCATGGCAGAGATGCTATGCAGTGTGCCCTTTCCGCTACGCAGGTCACTGTATAGCGGAGCTAGGAATGGGCGGAGATTCTCGGACATCGTGGTTGCCCAGACCAAGCAGGCTTCCAGGGCCTTGCGGCGCACTTTGGAAGCGTTTCGCAATGTTGCTAGTTGCTCTAGCAGTTTTGCGATTTTGGACTGCGCGAGTTGCACTGTGTCGGTGGCAAGGTCAAAGGTCCAACCACACCATGTGATTCTGGGACCCTATTGTGTTTTGCGCCAGCTGATTGGTGCGTTGATTGCAGCTAAGAGACATATGGTAACGTTAGGCATGCCAGTTCGGCGCTGTATTGCGATGCTAGCACTGCGAAGATATCATCCACATAGAGGAAGCTGCGGCGCGGTCTGTGGCTGAGCAGGCGGTGCAGTGTGCGGTGGATTACTGAGCCTAATCTTTGCCACCAATAACTGCTAAACCTTGCACCAAAATGACAGACCTTGTAGTAGTATAATTTTCCCTGACGCCGAAAGAGCAGTGTGCCTCTTTCGTCGTTGTGGACGACGCATGCTTTGTGCGCTGCTTTAAAGTCCAGCGACAGGCCGTGCCAATAGGTAAGCTGGACATCTTTGGCGGTTGGCATTTGCGCGGGCTCGGGCAGGTGGCAGCGCGGGTTTAAGTTGCAAATGGTGCTGTCTAATACCGCGCGCGGGTCGCAGCCTTGGGCCAGTACCACGTTAAGCTTGCCAATCGCGGTGCCTTTCGGCCAGTGCTGTTTTGCGTCAGCTTCTGTGCCCTCGAAGCAGGCTATGTAGCCGTCTTGCAGTTCTTTGTTTATTAGCTCTTGCAGGATTGCTGGGTTTTTTCCGCTTGAGTCCAGTTGCTTGCGCAGTGTTGCAGGTGAAGCGGGTCGGACTCTTGCGAATCTTGCAGGCTGTTTGGGATCCATTGCTTACTTGGAGGCAGCGGCGCGAAGGCACCTGTCGGGACGTTTTGGAGCAGGATGGGTATGAGGTCGGTGTCTGGGTCGTCGACATGCTGGGCGAGCGCTTGCAGTAGCAGTAGGCGGAATGGTTGGTCCTCGCGGATGCTGAAGCAATTGGTGTCAGCGCACCCTGGGTGCACAACCGCATGTGCGAGGCATGCCAGGTCGAGCTGTTGCTTCTCAGACAGGCGGGGAGCGGGCGCCGGCAATGAGCTTGCGTCCGGAGGGGTCTCCCCGGCAGAGGCCCCCGGACTGTGTCAAGTAGCAGGTGGCGGCGGCGGCGTATCGCAGTGTTGCCAGGGGGGCATGTTTTCGGCCGCATGGCTCACCGTTGCTTGACTTTAATTTGCGGGAGGCTGTGCGGGCTCTGGCTCTGCTTGGTTGCTGCTGTCATCATAGAGGATTTCGTGTCGTGACACGAATCGTGCTAGCAGTGCTCAGCGCGAAGGGAGGTTCAGGCACTGGGCAAGGGTTTCGGCGTGTTGCAGTAGCTGCTTGGGCGGAGGCAGCCACGGTGCTGCGCAAGCCCACCGGAGGACACGGAGGCTGTGGTGGTAGCTGCTTGGCTGGCGGGGCTTCCGTAATGTTGCAGTGCAAGAAGAGGAAGTTCGGCTAGGAAAGAGTGCAGTAGCTTCAGCCAGCTCACCACCCACGATGTCTTTGCGTCGGTTCCGGAGAACCCCAGGTAATGCACTGCCCACGGCTGTCCTTGCTTGCAGGTTTTTGTTTGATGGCAGCAACCTCGCAATGCGGTATTGGTCAAGTCCAGGGTGCGCCATTCTACGCGTTGCGCGTCGCCCCAGCAGATGCTGGCGTGTATGCATATCAGCGCAGCGCCGAGCCAAAGGCGCAGTGACACGAGTGCGAGGCAGTTGCAAACGCATTGCTCCCAGGCAATCACGCATGCCATGGGCAGAGGCATAGCTTCTCGGCGATCACGCGGTTCGTCTCAGTGTGTACGCGGAGATAATCGGCATGTACATTGCGGCGGCTAGCCCCTCGACCTGGGCGTGCTTTGCGAACCAGCGCAGGGCTTCCACGCACATGACCGGAGGTGTGCGGCGGCAGGCTCGACGCAAATCTTGCTTTGCTGGGCCGAGTGTAAGTAGTCGGCTACGCAAGGCCATGTGCAGTCGCCTATGTCGCAATGCCACATATTGAGATAGTCGAGGAACTGCTCGACACAACGCAGGTAGCGGTCTAGGGTACTGGCCGCATTTTTTTACAAGAGATAGTTGGGCGGTTGTGCAATTGGGCAAACAGTGTGCTGGCACAGCCAATCGTTAGCAGTATGCGCATAAAGCGAGAGATTGATCGCTGTTTGCGTATCGCATTCTGTGCTCTGGTGGTAAACACTTCGGGATGCGACGCAAGGCAAGGGGCAGTGATATGCTGCTTATGTTGCAGCTTGACAGTAGGTGCAGCAAGGGCTGCTGCAGTGGCCGATGCCTGTGGAGTGGGATTGTGCAGCGGCGGTGGCTCTGGCAGACTGGTGCCTGGTGGCCTGCATGGATGCACGGGCGGGGGCTGCCTTAGAAGACTTTTGGGCGCAGGCTTGGGTTTAGGGCGGGGCTTAGGGTTAGGGTTCGGACGGACCGTGAAGCCCAGGCCCTACATGAACCTCTGCGACTCAAACCATTTGACCACGCATGAGCTGCAGCTCCGTGCCTACCGTACCTATGAGGAGCTACTGCGAAGCCTGCCAAGCAGGTTAGCTGACCCAAACTACCTCTTGGAAGTCGCTGACAAGCTCCACCGATTTGCCTCAAGCTCTCTGGAGCTCTGCAATACCTGGACTTGGAAGCAATGCTAGGCAGCAATGCCCCGCAGCTCGACCGTGTTTCTCTCACGGACTCCATCGTAGGGTACGGCTTCCTTACCACTGCACAGTACATCGCTGATCGGTTCTTTGCTGTGGCGGATATCCCAGGCGTTGGTAACGCACAGTTCCCTGCGATGCTATGTTACAGTGATCCGGATTACTGGATGGGGGCCCTTTTGTTGGCATTTGAGGCTCATCAAAAGGGGCCCCCTGGGCGCGCAGCTGGTCTGCCCATTGTGCTGGGATTTCCTGAGTCGGAGCAACATATTACCGATCTTCAGGTCAACGTGCCCCCGGCGGCCATCGTAGCATTGTTGGCGGGACGTGCGTATCAAAGGCCCACCTGCCCCCATATACGAGAGAGACCTGGGGAGGGGTCGCCTGTGATACAAGGACTAGTGGATGAGTCACGCTTGTGCGCGTGGGTGGATTGTGCCCGGCGAACTAGCCTTGAAGCTGCCCGACCGCCATCAATGCTTTCGTGAGAGTCTTCTTCTTCCGACGCGGCAAAGGAGTGCTTTGCATAGCGTGTCAGGTGCATGACTGTGCATGCGGCTTCGTGATGAAGCGGAGGCTACCCCTGTACTGCACCCGGCGCGAGCGCCCCATGAGCAGTGCAGAAGACAGCAGAATACTAGCAAAATCTGTACAGTTCTATCAACTGATGAGTCCAACACTTGAAGTGACACTCTA